AAAAAAAAAAAAAAACGATAAGCCTGAGACATTTCTAGGTAAATAGCATTGTTTCTCTGGTGTGAGAAACTGCAAGTGGAAATAAGGACTAAAACGTATAACAGATATTGGGAAATGGGAAGAAAATGTTCAAATGGGAAGGGGAACAAGGGAGGGGGAAAGGAAGGGTGGGACAAGAAAATAAAGTGAAAATAGAAGGAAAAATGGAAACAAAAGCTTTTGTATATAGGAAAGGGAAGGGAGGACAAGGGGAGGGGCAAGTGGGAATAAAAGAAGAGACAGGATATATCATGTACAGGTGCAAATCCCTATGATTTATTTTTATGTATATCTAAAATGTACCAATAAACGTTTTGCTTTAAAAAAAAAGTTCAAGGGCTAGGGATTTAGCTCAGTGTCACCACGCCTGCCTTGCAAGCACAAGGTCCTCAGTTTGATCTCCAGTACCAAAAAAAAAAAGTTCAAGGCCAGGCTAAGCAACTTAGACCCTGTCTCAAAAAAAAATTAAAAGAGCAGAGGAGGTAGCTCAGTGGTAGACCCCAGGCTCAATCCCCAATAGCTGGGGGTAAAAAAAAAATCCAGCCTCCCAAGTAGGCTCGCCTGAAGAGTTAACAAATGAAATTAATTGTCAAGCATGTAAAAAGATAGTTTCAAGTTTTAAAAATATTTCACAGCCAAAACAGACAGTTCCCTTCACCACTACCATCACCCTCCCCCAAAGAGTGAAAGCCAGCTGCTCTAACAGTTCCAGGCAACTGCTAAAAACAGGAAGCAAAGAGTAACTGAAACTGCAGGATGAGCATGGTTAGTAAATCTTATTTCCCTTGAAAAAGTATGCCAATGAAATAACAATGGCGGCGTGTGGTGCATGTCTGTGCAAAGGCTGTGCCATTTTAAACGTCCATTTCAGGTCTTGTCGGTAATTCACTTGAAAAAAAGGGAGAACTTTACAAGACGCGGTACAGGCCTATCAGAACACAGCAGTTTGAATCAAATACTCACTTTTCTTTGGAATAAGTATGTCAATATAGATAACAGGGTCGTGATTACAGGAAGTAAATATTAACATTTACTATTTACAACCTCGAATTTTTAAATTTTGTATTTGAAATATACAACTTGAAAAGAAAAAGTTTTTTTGTTTGTTGGTTTTGGTACTGGGGATCGAACTTGGTCCCTGTGCTTGCGCAGCAGGCGGCGAAACCACTGAGCTAAATCCCTGGCCCGAAACTTTCACGTTTTACAATCCTTTCTCATGATTCTCAGTATTTACGTGTAGTACGTACATGTTTATTCCTTGTGTGGAGTTGACCCATGCACAAATCTCAATTCCTTTTCTGACCCCTTCCCTCCCCTCTTTCCCTGCTCCCTCCTCCATTCCTTGATCCCCTTCCTCTCTGAGAAACGCACATCTCCCTACTTTTCTTGGTACCGGGGATCAAACTCAGGACCCTGCGCTTACGAGGCAGGTGCAGTGTCACTGAGCTACATCCCTGGCCCTCCCTACTTCTTATTATCTATTTTATTTTGTTCTTTATTTTGGGTTTCTCATGTAAGGGAATACTGGATGGATACTGGAAAACAATTTTGAATTTCTTCAAATTTTCTTACCAGCTTAAAGTGTGGTTTGGTTTGGTTTGTGTGTTTGGGTTTTTGGAGGGGATTTTTTTCTTTCTAAGACAAAGCCTTGCTATGTAGCCCAGGCTAGCCTCAAACTCACAGTAATCCTCCTGCCTCAGCCTCCCAAATATTGAGATTACAGGTGTGCACCACCACACCTGGCCTGAAGAGTGTTTTGCTCTTCATAAATACAACTTTTACTGCATATTACAGATAGTAAAAGTAGTTTGCTGGACATGGTGGTACACACCTATAATCCTAGCATTTTGGGAGGTAGAAGCAGAAGGATCACAAGTTGGAGCCCAGCCTGGGCAACTCAGCAAGACAGTCTCAAATTTTTAAAAATTTCAAAAAAGGGCTAGGGATACAGCTTAGAGGAAAAGTGTTGGGTTCAATCCCCATGGCGGGGGGGTAGTTAACTTTATTACAAGCCTCATTTCGTACTAAGCAGTTACATTTTGTACATAGCCCTTGGTAACCCCATTCTCTGAGAGATGAGCACATAAAACCCACAAAATACAGTGATTAGCCAGTTGGTTTTATCATTATACTACAGTTAAAGATCTCCTCTGTAACACGGCCATAAACCAACTTACAAACACATTCCCCTAAAAACAAGAAAGTCAGATGCAAGTTTACTTCAGCTTACCAATACTGATAAAAAACTAAATTCTCATATCTAGTTAATAGTGCCACCTATAACACAAAGAACAATACTTTGACATAAACCATAGCTCTTATTTTTTGAGATCAGGCCTTGCTGTGTTGTCCACCCTGGCCTCAAACTGCTGGGTTCAAATGATCCTCCTGCCTCAGTCTCTCATAGCCTGGCCAGTAGCTGGAACTACATGTGTACTACCCGGTCCAACTCTAAACTATAGGGTTTTTTGATTTGTTTTGTTTTGTTTTTCAAGACATGGTTTCACTACCTAGTTCAGGCTAGCCTTGAACTCACTATGTGGTACAGGCTGGCCTTCAATTCACAGTGATCCACCTGCCTCAGCCTCCTGAGTCCTGGGATTACAGGCATGAGCCACCACACACCCAGTTTAAACTATAGTTTTAAAAGTATTTTTTTGTAACTTTTTTTCCTTCTAATCACAAAAGTAACACCTGGAAGCTGGGGATTTAGCTCAGGTGGAAATCGGGTGTGGTGGTGCACGCCTGCAATCCCAGCACAAGGGAGGCTGAGGCAGGAGGATTGCCGGGAGTTCAAGGCTAGCCTGGGCTACATAGTGAGTTCAAACCCAGCCTGAAGTACTTTATGAGACACTGTCTCAAAAAAAAAAGGTAACACATGAAGTAAATACACATATAAGATATTTTAAGATGAAGAAATGCCATTTTTTTCCAGAAGATCCCTAAAACCTATGTTGTATTTAAATTGTGTTAAATGTTTCATTACTTCTCACCTTTTAAATACTTTGTCAGAGCTTTTGCCCATTTTTTTCATTTCATTATTTTCAGAGTTCTTTATATCATTTGCCCCAAATGGCACTAAACATTCTTTCAAAAGCCAATACTCATAGCTTGCACACCCAAGTGATGGCTAATACATTCCAATTAATAAAACCACACTTACCTACTACCATGTATCACTCATATATCCTGCTTTATTTTTCTTTTTTCCAAGTAACAGCTCCACATATATTTTGGCAGTTTGTATTCGGTTTGTCCTCTCTCTAAAACATAAGCACCATGAGGGTGACAGTTTTATTTGCTGCTCTAACCCAAGAATATTGTACAGTGGATTTAATACATAGGAAGAAATAAATGAACCACTAAACTTCTACATTTTGAGATCTTTGCTACTCAGAAGCTAACTTCATGTAAGCCTAAAAATACAAGAATATGGCACAAAGTTCTTTGAATGCTGTAATAGAGCTTTGAATTCTCACTCTTGGTTCACAAACGCTTGATTAATAATGCTTTGCCAACCTTGCAACATCAGGCCTTGGAACAAAAGGTTCTTTGTTCTCTAATGGAAAATAACAAAGGTTCTCTTAAGAGAGAACTGCAGTACCTGTTGCCTCGGCAAGCTGTTATTTTTTCTTCAAGCAACAACATGCTCTTTATCTAAAGTCTGAAACTATAACTAAAAAATACAAATTTATTTCATCTGTTCCTGAAGTCTTGAAATCACACCCAAAAAAGGCAAGGGCGGGGGGGGGGGGGCACGGATTTAGCTCAATGATTCTGCCACCTGTCTCGCAAGCATAAAGACCTGAGTTCCTTCAATCCCAGTTACCAAAAAAAAAAGAACTACATTTTGTTATGTTCTTCTGGACACTCTACTACTACTACTAGAACTCTATTACATCTGCCATACTACATATGATGCGATGTTTACCCTACATCAGCACCTTAAGGTTGCTTCTGAATGTTGAGAAATTATACTGAGATAAGAAAGAAAGGACTGATGTCCCCCAAGTTGCTTTTTGTTATTCTTTTTCCATGACTGGCCCAAACACCTTGCAGCCAGCCAGCTACTTCGGAGGCTCCACAGCTGCTCCAGGAGATACTGGTTTGAGCTGCAGCAAGCTCGAGACGCAAACCTATCCTGTCTGACTCTGCTCTGAGGCCTCTGGAAGACTCTGCCCCTCTGCAGCCCTCTTCAGTTAGATCCACAAGCGCCCTCTCCCACTCGTGATCAGCCTGACACTGCACATGCAGGACGCCACCTTTCCCTAGATTAGCAGATTTCATCTGTGTATTCTTCTCCCTTATACTGTAGCGTAATTCCTACAGAGCCTCCTTCTGGATGTTGTATTCTCGCCTAGTCATAATTTCTACCTCAAGTGGAGCAGGCTGACCAGGCACAGTAAAGGTGGTAACACCAAAGGTCACTGGTATCAAAAGCAGCCAGCATTCAGTTGGTAACACTGAGGAGAGCAGCAGAAAACAAGAGAGCAACTGAGCATTGCCAGGAGCTGCTCCCAAGGCCTGCCATAGCTGCTGCCTCCTAGAGATGAGAAGAGCCACAACCTAAAAGCTCATAGTGATTGGAATTTAAACCTCAGGGCTATCGACACTAAAAGACCTACATTTTGCCAATTCATGATTTCTACACAAACTCTCATTAGCCTCAGCTGGTTGGTTACATGTATAGGAGCCATACCACAGGACCTCCTTTTTTTTTTTTTTTTAAATAAAAGACCACTTATTTCAAGGCGGGGAAAAGAGAAGAGAGATCTTTGGCCCATGTTTGACTGACTCCCTGGCAGTCTTTCACCCTAACCTTGGATTTCTGAAGACCAGGACTTTCCCTGTCCTTTTGTGGTGGGTAAAATTATGGGTGAGGGCCACAGGGAAAGGCAGTTTAGGTTTAAGGATTAAGTAAAGGGGAAGTTTATGATTCTTATGTTAATCATACTATCTGAGAACCTCCCAGGCCTGGCTTCTTTGCCTTGTCTTACTAATTGCTCAAATCAAGCTGCAGGTGAGAAGCTGCTTGAGAAAGATTTTCTATTAATTTAATAAAGCTCATTGAGGCCTTCGTCCTGTCTTTTCCCTACTTACAGGTCCCATCAATGCAACCACCCCACCCCCGCCCCACTGAGACAACCATCTGACTGCTGTTGAGGACACAGCCGAAGAGCAATTTCACTTCTTCAAGGGCCTCCCCTTTAGAGGACTGAGCAGAGGGTGGACAACAGCGATGTTACAGCAGGCTCACACCCCACTCTGCTTTCCAGCTGACACGCGCAGCCAGGGATCCGTGCAAACCGGTGATGATGTCCAAGCTTCAATGATAACGTACTTGCTCTTCACAAAAGAGCAGCAGGAGAGTATGTACATAGACACAAACCAAAAAATGATTGAGTTACATCTTCAAACTATTGCTATGATTAACTGAGTTTTTTCAAAAAAATCACAATTTTTACGTTCAGCCCATATATAACACTTTGCACCTTTAGTAATGATTCCTAAATATTCCTTAAAATAAAAGCTGGGTGCAAGGGCAAATGCCTGTCATGCTACTCACGGGGCTGAGGCAAAGGGACTGCAAGTTCAGGGACAGCCTCAGCAATTTACCAAGGCCCTGTCTCAAAATAAACAAATAAAAAGGGATGGGAATACAGCCTAATGGTAGAGCACCTGCCCACTGTGAGGCCCTGGGTTTTATCCCCAACACTGCAAAAAACAAAAACCAACCAGGCTATAGCAACTAAATGTAACTCATGGTTCCTAACTAAATTCTGGACTGGAAGCTGAGAGCGAGGGCACACACCTATGGTCCCAGCTACTTAGAGACTGAAGTGGAAGGACTGCAAGTTTCAGGCCAGCTTGGGCAATTTAGTGAGGCCTTGTCTCAAAACAAAAACAAACAAAAATCAAAAGAGCTAGGGATGTAGCTCAGTGGTAAAGGTTGTCTGGGTTCAATCCCTAGTAACACCAAAGGAGAAAAACAGCTCACAGAGGAGATATTTGCAACACCTTAACTGAAACGATTAATATGTGAAGATAGCTACAAACCTAATACGTGAAGACAGCTACAAACCAATGGCAAGAGGGGGGACAACCAAGCCAAAAAAAAAAAAAATGAAGTATTATATAAGTAAGCAATTTACAGAAAAAGAAACCTAAATCTACAATAAGTGGATGTAAAAAAAAACCCCAACCGATAGTAAAAACATGGCAAAAAGGATTCTATCACAACCTACTGGTGGGTATTTTGTATTTGGTGTTTTTGAAAATAATTTGACACTATCTAACATGGTTGAAGGGCCGGGGATTTAGCTCAGTGGTGCCGCACCTGACTCACAAGCTCAAGGTCTTGAGTTCGATCCCCACTACTGCAAAAAAAAAAAAAAAAAAGGAAAGGTATAAAATGGTTCAAGATGCTTATACCCTACAACCTAAAAATCCCTAGGCTTCAAATTTTTCACATAAGCAAGAATGTTTATCACTGTATTGATAATATAAAAGTCAGAAACACCTGTCCATAAACAGTAGTTTATTCATATAATGAAATACAACAGAGGAGTTGATATGAATAAATGATACAACAACAGGGAGACATATCACAAAATCAATGGGGCCGGAGATTTAGCTCAGTGGCACCACACCTGCCTCGAAAGGGCAAGGTCCTGAGTTCAATCCCCGATACCAAAAAAAAAAAAAATGTTGAAGCCAGGCATGGCTTCACACACCTGTAATCTCAGCTGCTCAGGAAGCTGAGACAAGATCATTTGAGGCCAAACAAAAAGACTGAGGCCAGTGTGGCCTCAGCAAGATCATGTTGCAAAACAAAAAAGGGTGAGGATTGTAGCTCAGTGGTAAAGTACTTGCCTAGCATGTGCCAGGCCCTAGATTCAATCCCAGTACCAAGGCAAAAAAGTTGAGCAGGGGACAGGGGTATAGTTCAGCAGTCCCACTGTCCGCTTAACACGCTGGGCTCAATCCCCAGCACAACAAAAAGAGGAGAAATTCTTTTAAACTGAACAACAAAACAAGATATATATATATATATATATATATATATATATATATATAGTATAAAATATATGAAAAACATGTATATTAAGTAAATGTATGTACTTTTATGGATACATAATAAAAGTATGTAAATGTAATCGAATAACTGCCTAATTGATGACAGTGGGAAGGAAGTACTAGGTAAGAAGAGGAATAGGATTCATAATGGCTTCCACTGTATCTTTAATGTTTATAAGAGACCACACAACTGAAAAATAGTTTTTAAAAATATAAATATGATGGTCTTAAGATCTGATAAAGGAGGTGGGTGGTATATATACTAAATGGACACTATATTATTTTCTGTATGTTTGAAATATTTCATATTAAAGAAAATTTTAAATTAAAACATTAAAGAAATCCATTAAATGAAACCAAGGAGCTTTCATATACACACACACACATATATATATACATACACCATTTTAAAAAAAAAAGAGAGAAAGATCAGAGAAATTTTAAAAGAACAAAAGAAAAAATTTTGGGCCAGGGATTTAGCTCAGTGGTGCCACACCTGCCTTCCAAGTGCAAGGTCCTGAGTACGATCGCTACTACCAAAAATAAATAAATAAATAATTTTTTTTAAAGAAAAAAGTATTTAAAAAAAGAAAAAGGGGCCAGGGATTTAGCTTAGTGGTTCCACTGCCTGCCTTGCAAGTGCAAGGTACTAAGTTCAATCCCCAGTACCAAAAAAAAAAAAAAAGAAAGAAAAAGAAAAAGAAAAAGAAAAATAGAAGGATGTCACCTAACAATTTGACTATTTTTTTTAAGACACTAAATTTCAGGTACCAGATTTCAGTTTTCTCTTTCCAAGCAGAACCTGCAGGGGAGGCTCTTTGGTCTGACTTTTGATAATGCTTCCCACCAAAAGACACACAGAAGGTAAGATAAAATAGTTCAACATTCACCAAGTCAATTTAATCTTTGTGTCTCTATATTTTGTCTTAAAAATGGGATTATGTTTGCTGCCTTGATGACAGTTTCGCTATTTATTGGTTTGTTGCTAAATGATTTTCCATAGCTACTGCAAATTTTGGCCACGTTATTAAAGATACAATCAATCAGTTAAAAAAATTACGTAAGATTTACTGAGTCAGTCAAGTGCGATGGCTCACACTTGTGATCCCAGTTCTTGGGAGGCTGAGGCAGAATCCCACGAGTTTGAGGCTACTCTGGGCTACATACCATTGTGAGTTCAAGGCCAGCCTGAACTATGTGAGACCCTGTCTCAATAAACCAAAACATAAAAAATAAAAGACTTACTGGGTCAAGTGACAAGAACTTTAGCACTCCATGACAATTTGCTACTAACTTCCTTCCGACAAGTAACTTCTTCAGGTCTGAACCTAAAAAAACCAAACCAAGAAGAAAACCCAAACTAAATAGTTCTTACTTCATTCATTCTGCTCTATCTATAAGGGTCCAAATTGCCTATCTTGTAAACAGCTTACCAAAACTTCTCTTTCCAGCTATCTTTCAGACCACTGTTCTATCAAACCCCTTGTTTTAGTAAGAGCGATCTATCCACTACACCCTCTGTATACCGTATTAGCTTTTATTCCCTAGCCTCAACTGTCACTTTGTTTTCCCTGACCCCACTAACCTACAATCTTGCCACTTAAAAGCAAAAATAGTTAAAAAAAAGCAAAAATAGTAATATCTGACATTTATAGAGAACTGAAGGAGTCAGTATCTCATCACTGGAACTGTTCTATTTAATAAACACAATCTTGTAAAATGTGTTCTATTTCCCACCCCCCTTTTTTTTTGGTACCGGGGATTGAACTCCAGTCCTTACACTTTCGAGGCAGGCGGTCCAACCACTGTGCTAAATCCCTGGCCCGATTTTCCCCCTTTTTAAGGTGAGAGAAACTGAGCGAGGCTCTCCAAGATTAAGTTCTCCAAAGCTGCATGCGTGGTAAGCAGTAAGACAGGTCTCAAACTCAGACCACAAAATCCAAGCCCTGAGACATACACTGCTCTCTCCTGACTGACATACTGACTGTCCTGACTGCTTGTCTGTCACCTGACACATGCTTATTTTTTTCTATTTAACATTTTATGCTAGTGGATACTGTCTTAAAAGCTCAAAATACCACATTCATTCAGCAAAAATTTACTGAAAGACTGTGTGCCAGGCACTGACTTCTGTGCATACAGTCATGTTACAAAGCATCTATGAAGCTGGGGATTTAGCTCAATGGTTCTGCTGCCTGCCTCTAAAGCGCAAGGACCTGAGTTTGATCCCTGGTACCAAAAAAAAAAAAAAAAAGAAAAAGAAACCATGCTTACAAAGTATCTATGAATGAAAATTACAGGAATTCACACACACACACACACACACACACACAGCCCAGAAACTAAGTCTAATATTCAAAATAATATGTACACAGCAGTTATCATTAAACCAAAGCTCATGTTTATATAAAAACTTTAAAGGCATATAATATATAACAAGATAAAGTAATTTTTAACTAATTATGCTTTTTGGTGACAGGGTGGAGCAATAAAAGAACTTTTCAAAAATGCATTTCATGTACTCCTTTCTTTCCCATGAAACAATAGAAACGGGCCAGAGACACTGATGAACATCCTCCCACTGTTATTTGGCTTCAGGAAGACTGGATGTCTAAGCCTGGGGGTGAATATATAAGTAAATATATAAATCGTACAAGCTTCTGGAGTCTTTTTCATGCAATGGCATCAGATCTCAGAACTGAATGGAACCTTGCAAAACATCTTAGTTCTCCCTACCACCTCCACTTTTTTTTCCAGTACGAGGGACTGAACCGGAGGCCTTCACACTGAGCCGCATTCCTAGCATTTTTATTCTGAGACAGGGCCTCCACGTATCGCTAAATCGCTCCGGCAAGGATCAAACTTCCGATCGTCCTACCTCAGCCTCTCAAAGTGGTAGATTACAGAGGTGCATCCCCTCCAGAGGTCCTCTTACCTGATAGATCAGCTGGTTAAAAGCTCTAAAACCTAAATTCTGTGCTAATGAGAGTAACACAGCAATGTATCTGTACAGCTGAAATAGAGATGTACATGGCAGGGGAAATGCACTTCAGAGATAGTATGTGTGCTAATGCCAACCCAGCATGTGCAGTTCTGACTTTAATTAGTAACTGGTTGTCTTTTTGTTTTGTTTTTGTTTGCTATTGGGTTTTTTTGGTTTGGTATGGCTTGTTTTTTTTGAGACAAGGTCTCCATACAAAGTTCAGGCTGGCCTTCAATTCACTATGTATCCCAGGCTGGCCACGATCCTCCTGCCTCAGCCTCCCAAGTGCGGGGAATATAGGCGTGCCATCATGCCTGGCCCCGTTATGTCTTTTAACTTAACCTTTTCGGGCCTGGATGTCTTCATGGGGGTAAACTCTAACCACTGTTGAAAGGTTCCATTTGAAAGACCTGAAATCTTCAATACACTCACAGCAAACGGCACTGTTTCACTACCCTCCCCTTCACACTGCAGTCAGGAGGGTCCGCACTCGTTGCCTTAAGAGGCAAAAATTATCAGTCTACAGACATTCTGGAACAGGCAGGAGGGATCCGCCGGTGCCCCGCGGCGCGCGGCCAGAGCAAACAGTCTCGTAAAGGAGACGCAGCACTTCGGGGCACAGCAGTCACACGACCCGCCGAGGTGACGGCGGGAAACACCTCGGACCCCGAGCTCTGCTCACCCGCTCTGGCCCCAACTCCGCTCAGACGTCTCGCGCCGCCTGCGGGCCCGCCCGGCGAGTGACGGGGGCGTCCTGAGGACGGGAGGCCGGAACTCGCCAGCAGCGCCGCACTCCGTGTGTCGGCTGGGGGGCGGCCCCCGGCCCCGCCGGGAAACAATGGCGCGAGCGTGACGCGGGCCGGGGGCGTTGCCGCGGCGCCGAGGCCGGGGCTGGGTCGCGCGGGGTCCACAGGCGGGCGCGGCGGGGACGAGGCCGGATGCGCCGCTGTCAGAGCCGCGAGCTGGGCCGCCGACCCGCCCTCCCTCGCCCTCCCTCGCCCCATCACCCCTCACGCCCGGCAGCCCGCCCTGCCGCACTCACCCGTCCCACCGCTCGGCCGCAATCCCAGCGCCCAACTGCCGCAGCGGCCCGGGCGCGCGCCCGCCGTGCCGCCACGCCACGCCCCCCAGCGCTCCGCCCGCGCCACGCCCCCCAGCGCGCCGGCTTAGGGACCTGCTAGTTGTTCGGTCCCTCAGCTCCGCCGCAGAGCCGGGCAGCCACGGTGACGACGCTCCCTGGCTTCGCAGCGGACCTCGGGAGGCGACCTTAAGACCCGGGCCTCTGCCCCTCGCGAAGGCCTGGGGATCTTTAGACGACAGAATACTGGCTGTGGCTGAGGTGTGGGGTGACGCAGGTTGCCGACCCTTCCAGCTCCTTGAATCCCCTTGGGGGCTTGGCTCCCGCTGTTTAGTTCCTGAGCATGGATTCGAATCCCAGTCCCGCCACTCGCATGGATCAGCTTCCTCCCCTGTGCCGCACGATGCACACCGTATGGACAGGGAAGTGAGGTCACGTAGGCTGGCTCCGCTCAGTCTTGGTACACGGTAAGCACCCGGCACCAGGCAGTGTTCAGTCCATACCCCCACCACCCGCGGGGCGAGGAGACCCCACAGGTCGACCCCGTCCCGCCCCGCCCTGCCCTGCCCTGCCGAGCGCGGCCTGCTGAGTCCTCGCAGTCCTGGGTGCTCCGAAGTGCCAATGTCTGGGCCCAGGCTCTGGCCTTTCGAGCCCCAGAGTAAACTGCTCTAAGCTCCCTTCTGCCTGCTGTCTTCTCTTCCCTCAGCTCAGCAAGTCCCCTCTTCCCAGCCCTGTGCATCTTTGTCTTTCTCCTCTGGCACCCCGGGATTTAACTGATTCCTTCAGAATGTGTCACTCAAGACTGAGCCAAACGTTTGTGGCACCATCAGAGTAAAGTAGGATTGTAGCTTCGACCTAGAACTGACTGCCCTGCATTCAACCCTGACAAGCACCAGGCATGGTGGGGTGAGCCTATAGTCCCAGCTACACCGGAGGCTGAGGCCGGAGGATCTCTAAGCCCAGGAGTTCCAGGCTAGCCTGAGCAACTTAGTGAGACCCTATCTCCAAAGAGGAGAGAAGGGGAAGGGAGGAGAGGGGAGGAGAAAGAAAAGGAGAGAGGGGAAGGGGAGGGAGAGGAAGGGAGAAAAGTTCTCCAGATCCCCACTGTTGACTCATAGTGAGCAGTAATTTAGACCCCCAAGTCCTTTTACTTGGTGCTGCACCCCAGCATTTCTACCCCTCCTATGTTTGTGGACCAACCTCAGTTCTGGTCCTCTGAGGATGGGCCTTGGACCTCTCATCTAACTACATTTTTCAGGGCATGTGAGGCATAAGAACAAAGAGTTGGAAGCTAGCTTAATACCACCTTTAAACCAAGTGCATTTTTAAAAGTTTTTTCCTATAGACCGCACTAATTGAATTTGTGCATAACACATATGCATTGTGATCTCAAACTGAACAACAAAGAGAGTACACACAAAAGAGTAGGAGAAAATAAGTCACTGGGTGTGTTGACAATGGTTTTCTCTTAATATTAGGACCAGATATTTTCTTTATACTTTTCCATTAATTTCCTTTTACAATCTAGAACTCTGCTCCCAAAATAATGAAAAAATAATAATTTTAAAAAATCAGGGCCAGGGATTTAGCTTAGTGGTTTCGCCACCTGCTGCGCAAGCTCAAGGACACGAGTTCGATCCCCAGTAAAAAAAAAAAAAAATCATGAGGGGCCAAGGATTTAGCTCAGTGGCACAGCACCTGCCTGCCTAACACAAGATTCTGAGTTCTATCCCCAGTCTAAAAAAATCAGATGAGCTGGGTGTCTTAGTTATTTTTTCTCATTGCTGAGACAAAATGCTCAACACCCAAAGTTAAAGGATGAAGGGTTTATTTCAGCTCACAGTTTGTAGAGGTTTCAGTCCAGAGTTGGCTGCCTCCAAGGCAGGGTGGCACGACAGAGGGGCATCCCAGAGGAGAAACAGTCCATGGCATGAAGGCAGGAAGCAACAAGCAGCAAACAGCAAGAGCAGAAGCAGCAGCAGCAGCTGGCCTTCTTTCTGTCCCTTTATATTCCATCCAAACTACCTGCCTTTTGGGTGGTGCCACCCACACCCAGGGTGGGCACCCTTAATTCCATCATCACACCCTTAATCCTAGTATCACAGCCCAGATCCAGCCATCCATAATCCAGCATTACACACCTATGTTCCAGTTACGTCCCAAAAGCCCCACCTATGAGTGCAGGGGGGGGGGGGGCATCTAGATAGATACAAGCCATAACACTCTGCCCTGCCCCCCCCCAAGACTTGTGCACATCCCTTTATGCAAAAGGCATTTACTTCATCTCTAAGAGTTGCCAAAGTCCTAACAATTTCAACATTGCTAGAAAGTACAACGTGTTCCAATGTGTCCTCTGAGGTTTATGGCAAACTATTAGCTGGGAGGCCCAGTAAAAATAAAAAGAAAATTAAACACTTCCAATATACAACGGCACAAGATAAATATTTCCATTCCAAAAGGTACAAATAGGAGGACAGAAAGAAATGGGACCAAAGCAAGATCAAAATCCAGCAGGGCAGGGCTGGGTATTTAGCTCAGTGGTTCTGCCCCCTGCCTCAAAACTGAAAGGTCCCAAGTTTGAACCCTGGTACCAAAAAAAAAAAAATAATCCAGCAGGACAAACATTTAAGTCCTGTAGCTCCACATCCAACATCCAGGTCAATCTGTGGCAAGATGTGAGCTCCAAGGCTTGCGTGGCTGTAACCCTGTGGCACCATCAGTGGTTGCAGCTCTGGTGGCTTCTCTCTTGGGCTGGCTGTGCCCACTCCTTGCAGCTTTCCTCAGATGATCAAGGTTCCTGGCTTCTCCAACCTTCTGGGGTCTCCACAGCACCTAGGCTTCACACACTGTCCTCTCAGGTGCACTGCCTGGCCTCCCAAGGCCCTCTTCTGAAATCTGGGTGGAAGCCTTTCTGACCTCACAACTCCTGCATTCTCCAGGCACCTAAAACCAGCACCTTGTGGATGACACAAAAGCCTGGCTGCCAGGTGGAGCAGCAGCCAAGCTTCCTTCTCTCCTGGTTATAGGGGTCAAGTGCCTTGACCTCTGAGCACAATGAACCCAGTCCTGAAGAACAAATTTCCTAAACCACTGCCCTTCTGGGACATAGTGCCCTGAAGCTCTCTTCTCAAAGCAGTCTTTCACTTTTGCAATTTTGAGGCCGCAAAGGGTGGTCTCTTGCTCATTCTTGTGATACCCTCGGGCCATCTTTTCTATTGTCCTGTTCCGAGAACTTGGCTTTTTAATGCTAATATTTTCAGCAACCATATTCTCTTCTGTTCCCGCTTTGCAGGCTGCATCTTTACCTGAGATTCCTTCTGGCCAAACTCAAAACTTTTTAAATCATTCTGCTGGGCTGTTTGCTTTTGATTATCAAGGTACGGAGGGATAAAAGCCCCCACCAGTTCCCGTACCACCACCTCAACATTAGACTGCCTTGAAATTTCTTCCGCCAGATTAATGAGTCTGTTGCCCTTAATCTTGGCCTCCCACAAGGTCTCTGGACAGGGGCAAAGTGCAGACAAATTTTCTGCCGGATCATAATATACACAGCCTGGAGTCCAACTGCCAATACAGTCTTTGTTCCCAATCAAAACTTCCTGAGCCTGGTCTTTACCAGCTGCATTTCTGTCAGCATTCTGGTCTTCTGAGCTCTGACCAAAATCTCCCATAAGCTTAGCTTGTAGCATTTTAGGGCTACTTCAGCTGGTATCTCCAAAACTTTCCAAACTCTTCCCACAAGTCAGTTCCAAAGGGTTCTGAGCCACATGGTCAGGTAGACACAACATCGACCCAACTCTTGCTACCAAAATCTGTCTTAGTTACTCTTTCATTGCTGGGACAAAATACCTGACACTTACAATTTAAAGAAGGAAAGTTAATTTTAACTCACAGTTTTTAGAGGTTTCAGTCCATAGCCAGCTGGCTCCAAGCCAGGTCAGCATGGCAGAGAGGCCTGACAAAAGAGAAACAGTTCATGGCATGGCAGGCAGGAAGCAGCAAGGGAATCAAGGGAGGATGAGACATAGGTATCCTCCAGACCACGCCCCACTGGGCAACCTCCTCCTACCAGGCTTCACTGCTCAACATCACACCCACTGTAAACCCATCAGTAGATGAATCCAGTGCAGCAGTACTTCAGTTCATGAACTTAATTCATTCCACGATTCTAGAAAAGATGGCCACATTCATGTTCATGCAGGAAAGATGGCCTCAGTCATGTTCATCACTTGATGCAGAGTTCACAAACAAAAACAAAATTTTGCCAAATGCTTCTATTTGCAAACCAAATTGTTCACAAACAAAAGGGTTGGTGAACCAAGATACCACTGTATCATACACTCGTGACCCAGAATCACACACGCATGATCCAGTCACCTCCCAAAAGCCTCACCTATGAACTCATGAAGCTTTGGGGGACATCTAGACTTAAGCCATAACACTTAGCAAGACAGCAACCCCAAAGGGAAATGAGATGGAACACTCTGATACTCAATCACCTGGACCCACTGAACTGGCAACAAAAGAGGATCTGGAAAAAATGAAATCAGAAATAATTTCTCAGATAACAGCAGAGATTGTGCTCCTAGTGCAAGACATGATTAATAAATCTAGAGAGGAGCTGAGGAACATGATGGAATCCCAACATAGGAAACAAATGGAATCCATAAAACAGATACAAATAGATTTCCAAGAGATGAAAAACTCCATTGAAAGTCTACACAGCAGAATGAGCCAATGTGAGGACAGAATTTCAGATATAGAAGATAAGATTGCAATTAGTGACCAGGAAAAGAAAAATTGCTTCAAAATTCTAAGGGAACACGAGAAATCAATCCAGCAGCTGCTAGACCATGCAAAGAAGAATAACATAAGACTGATTGGAGTCAAAGAAGAAACAGGAGAGAGTGCAGATGACATAACACTTAGCAAGGTCCAATCTCAAAAACACAGTTTAGGGATGTAGTTCAGAGCAAAGGCCCTGGGTTCAATCCTCAGTATTACAAATAAAAATGACCTTGATCTATATCAATATATGTAGATAGATAGATATAGATAAATATAGATATATAGTTAGATATACAGAGTCCGCCAAAAAATGTGCATGCGCTTCAAGAAAAAACTTGTGGGCTGGGGATTTAGCTCAGTAGTTCTGCTGCCTGCCTCACAACCTCAAGGACCTGAGTTTGAACCCTGGTACCAAAAAAAAGCGCAAAACCTTGTATAACTATTTTAATACTAAATTTATTGAGCCATCATGAGATTAACACAAGTTACCTTTGGCCTCTACAATTACAAGAGGTGCTCAAAGTGGTGGCCACTGGGGCCGGGGATTGAGCTCAGTGGTTTTGGCGCCTGCCGTGCAAGCACCAAGTCCCGAGTTTGATCCCTGGTACCAAAAAAAAAAGAACAACATAAAGTGGTGGCCATTAACTTCTAGACACTTTGGTGAACTGCTGCTTGGCTAACCTTGGTCCATTGAGATTGCTGCACGTGCATTTTCAATTTCTTCCCTAAGAGTTGACAGTGTAGTGGGTTTTCTGCAATATATGGCATCCTCTAAGGTTCCCCTATACAAGGGTAGCACTATCTGTTGAAAAAACATCGTATTATTTTTCTTTTCCTGAGGTGTATATACATTTTTGGCAGACTCTGTATATAGATATAGATATCAAAAATAGCTTTTTGGGGGCTGGGGATTTAGCTGAGTGGTTCCGCCACCTGTCTTGCAAGTGCAAGGACTGGAGTTCTATCCCAGGTACCAAAAAAAAACACAACCTTTTTCTATACTAGAGATCAAACCCAGGGGTGTTTTATCACTGAGCTATAACCTCAGCCCTTTGTATTTATTTTGAGTTAGGGTCTAAGTTGCTCAGACTGACCTTGAGCTTGTAATTCTCCTACTCCAACCTCCAAAGTATCTGGGATGATAGGCATACACCACCAAGCCCTGCTCAAAGTTATATTCTTGAATGAAAATAGCAAGTTGCAGAATGATATATAGTATAGACTTTGGAAGGTGATTGGATCATGGGGATGCTATACTAATCAGTGAATCCATTGATGAGTTCATAGCTGAATATGCTGTTAGGAGGTAGGGCCAAGGTGGAGAAGGTGGGTCACTTGGACAAGGTAACCTGCAAGGGTATATTCTTGTCCCTGGCCCTTCCTCTTTCTCTGGCTTCCTCTTCCCCTTTCTCCTTCTGTGTTCTCTGCTTCATGGATGCCATGGATAGGAACAGCTTTCCTCTGCTGGGCCCCTTCATCATGCCATTCCTGCCTTGGACCCAGCTGACCATGGACTGAAACCTCTGAACCTGTAAGCCACGTGAACATTTTCTCTTTTAAATTGCATGTGTAAGGTATGTTATCCCAGCAACAGAAACGTGACTAATATAAGTACTAACTATATGCCTAACATTGATCAATACAGACATGAATTGCTGCCTCGTGGAGTTTGCTATTCAGAAGGTGAATTCCAAATATACAAATAGTTATTTGCCTTCAATTTTCTATGCACAAAAAGTAAAAGATACTATGAGGGAGAGCACAATAGGGGATAGACTTGGGGTGGGGAGAGGGTCAGGAGACATTTTCCTGAAGAATCTTATCTCAGCCAACACCAGAAGGATGAGAAGGATGAAGGCAACAAAGAGCAAGGGGCAGGTTTAGAGGAGTGGAGAGTTCCTATAAAAAGGAGCCCTAGGTGCAAAGGCCCTATCCCAGGCACAAGGCTCATGCCTCTGTGAAACGACCAGAAGCATAGAGAGAAAGGAAGCAAGTGCAAAAATGGTCCCAGAGGGACCCCAGGCCAGACCTGGCTGGATGCTGTAGACCATAATGACCTGTAGCCTACCTTAAGGGGAATGGAGAGAAACTCCAGGGACCAAAGCAAAGACATGGGAGAGGTTAGGGTCATAGTTTTGTTTTGTTGTTTTCAGTGCTGGGATCAAACCCAGGGCCTCACACACGCTAGGCACGTGCTCTACCACTGAGCTACACCCCAGCCCCAGATTCATGGTATTTAATGCAACCCACCAACCAACTGCTTCACACAATGGGAAAAGTAATTCATTTGAGTCAGGCAAAAATCTCAGACGCTTGTCAGAAGCTTCATGGGGTTGTCACCATGAGTTAAACGTGACCTGCAACCTTTAGCACAATTCTTTTATTTATTGAACACCTGCCAGGAGATTCAAATCTGGAGATACAAATCGATTCGCTACTCACCTCCTCCTGAAATTGCCAGGCATCTATTTAGGAAGTCAGGCACTCGCAAGAGTTTCAGAAGAGATGAATTCTTGGGGAGACAGAAGAGTCAGAATGAAACACAGAGAGATGCTGTGACTTACTCATGGCTAAGGCAAAGAAAGGAAAAGGAAACACGTGTTGGTGGATTAGGCATTGCTGGTGGAAATGTAAAATGGTATAAACCACACCAGAGAACAAATTGGCAGTTTCTCAAAAAGTTAAACATAAAATTACCATATGATCCAGCAATTCCACTTCTAGGAAGATATCCAGAAAGAATGGAAAATAAGGACTCAAACAGAAACTTGTATCCAGTGCTCATGGTGATATTCATATTGCTCAAAGGTGGAAACAGCCAGGCGTGGTGGTACACGCCTGTCAGCCTAGCTACTTGGCAAACTGAAGCAGGAGGATTGCAAGTTCAAGGCCATTCTAGGCAATTTAACAAGACCCTGTTTCAAAATTTTAAATTTTTAAAAAGTGCATGCAGTGGTTCCACCGCCTACCTCGCAAGCGCAAGGTCCCCAGTTCAATCCACGGTACCAAAAATAAAAGTTCATGAATGTAGCTCAGTCATAGATCACCCCTGGGTTCAATTCCCAGTACTGCTAAAAAAAAAAAAAAAAAGTAATGTACAGAAATAAAAGTCTGGAGACATAGCTTAGTGTGAAGGCTCTGGGTTCAGTAGCTTGTACGTTATGTAGTAAAAAAAAGAAACAAAAAAAAAAAAAAAAAAAAAAGTGGTGGAAACAACTCTAGTGTATATCAGGAATGGAAAAACAAAATATGGTATATACATAAAATGGAATATCTTTCAGTCATAAAAGAAATGAAGTTCTCCGCCTGCTACGAAAGTGCAAGGACCTGAGTTCAATCCTCAGTACCAAAAAAACCCCAAAAAACCTCCACTTACATGAAATAGCTAGAATAGGCAAATTTATAGGACAGAAAGTGGATTAGAGGTTACCAGGGACTGAAAGCAGAGAGGCATGGGGAGTTACTGCTTAATCGTTCTAAGTTTCTGTTTAGGGTGATGAAAACGTTTTGGAAATCGTGGTCATGGTTGCACAACATTGTGAGTGTTCCTAGTACCACTGGATTACATCTTTAAAATGGTTAAAGTGGCAAATATCATATTACATATATTTTACTACAGTAAAAAATATATATATATAATTTTTTGGTTTGGTTTGGTTTTGTGAGACAGGGTTTTGCTGGGAGTTCAGGCTGGTCTTCAACTCACTGCGTAGCCCAGGTTGGCCTGGAACTCATGGAGATCTTCCTGCCTTGAGTGCTGGGATTACAGGCATGTGCCACCACATCTGTCTTAAAAAATATATTTTTTAACTTTTAAAAAAGGAGTCAATGGAGCCAGGGATTTAGCTCAGTGGTTCCAGCGCCTGCCTCCCAAGCGCAAGGACCTGAGTTCACTCCCTGGCATGAAAAAAAAAAAAAAAGGACTCAAAGACGATTTCCTCCACGTTCACCTAGAACACCCAGGCTCCTTGTTTGCAGACACTGCTTGCTTTCTCTGGCTAAAAGCTCTTCAGCTTCCTAGCTCCTACTGATCCTGAAGGCCTGAACACAAATGTTCCTCAGAGAGGACTTCTTAATTCCTCACCCAATGTCGTGGTTTGTATCTAGAGGTCCCCTAAAGCCTCATGCACGCATCGGCGGTGCTTTTGGGACCTAACCGGTTAGGGGCGTGGATTGGCCCCTGCTGCACTTAGCGCTGGCTTGCTGTTAGGGGTGGGACCTGGTCGGAAGAGGTGGCCACTGGGGTCTGGGCCAGAAGGGTTTATTCCTTCCCTGCTCCTCCCTCCTCTCTCTCCTCTTCCTATGACCATGCCACGAGCTGTTTCTCCTCAGCCAGGGCCCTTTGCCATGCTGCCTTGCCTTGGAGCCAGCTGACTGTAGACTAAAACCTCTACATGGGCCGGGATGGAGCTCAGCGGCAAAGCCTGCCTGCCAAGCATGAGGTCCTGAGTTCCATCCCCAATACCAAAAAATAAAATAAAACCTCTACAAACTGAGCCAAAGTAAACCTTCCCTCCTTACAGTTGTAGGTGTCAGGTATTGTGTCTCAGCAACAGAAAAAGTTACTGCAGTGTCCAATCTAATGGAAATTCCCTGTTAGTCCTTCATGTGGACCTGTACCTTCCCCTGCCTCCCCTAACTTACCATGTGTCCCATAAGTATTTGTGCAAAATGTCTTCAGACGCTTCTCTTGTCACAGGGGCTGAGCTGCAGGAAGACAGGGACAATGCCTGTCCTGTCCACTGAAAGTCTAGCACACCGGGTTTCCAGGTACATTTCAAATAAATTAATTTATGACTAAATGAATGTGTGATGCTCTTGTGAGCAGATTTTAATGCCTTTTACAATATTGTACTTTTTAAATTTTTAAAAATTGTTTGTTGCCAGGTGTGTTGGTGCACATCTCTGATCCCTGGCACTAAGGAGGCTGAGGCAGGAGGATCACCCTGAGTTTGAGGCCAGTCTGGGCTACATAGTGAGACCCTATCTCAAAAAAAACCCCTAAAAAATAAAATTGTTTGTAGTGCTGGGATTAAACCCAGGGCCTTATACGTGCCCTCGGGCCAGGAGCTCTATAACTCAGCTTCATTCCCAGCCAATGCTGTACATTTAATTACATCATTTAAAGGAATTAAGCAAGGGCTGTCATTCTTACACTCCTGTTTCTATCCTGTTTCACCAGTTTCTTGCAGCAGGAATCTGAGCAAGACACTAGTCCAATTTGTTTCCAGATGGAACTTATTGCTGGTCAGCCTAGGTCCTTCTGCTCCATTCAGGTGGAAATCGTGATCAGCTAAGTGCAGCTCTGTCAGCAGACCTGACACCGCCAGATGACCCAGGTGATGCCGGGAGCCAGTAGCCCACAGCCAGCTGCTGGGCACCATCTGTTGCCAGCTTGTGCAGGCACCATAGGTCACATCTGCCAGGCGCTGGGTCTCTGGAGCTCTTCCATGCTAACAGCTCTGCTTATTCACTCTGTCCACACCACTCGGGATAAAAGTCTATGCAGATTTACAGGACCTGAGAAATAGATCAAAGCAGGTTTACAGGCACCCCAAAGGGAGTCTTTAACAGGGCCTGTGCTGCAGGAGGGAGCCCTCCTCCACTAAAACCCCAGGGGTGCCAGGCAAGTGCTACTTATGTAGCCTTGCGGACCCATTGCAGAGGGCGAGGGCTGAAGCCAAGGAATCTTCTGGAAGGCCTGCTGTGCATGCTGGGTATGCAAATGAGGGGCCTAGATCCCTCCCTTCCTGATCTTAGCCACTCCAGGGTGACCCCTCTGTTCTCAAAAATTCTAGTCATGTTGGAGTGGAGAAGGGCAGGGTGATAGCCAGAGAGGACACTGAAGCAAACTGTCCCAGTCCAGTGGGGTACGAGGGGGGCAAAAGGGAGTGAGGTGGGGCATCCTGGCCGCTGGCCAAGTCACCCCACCCCCACCCCCAGCCCCCGCCAGCACAGGGAAAAATGAACCAGGCGCTTCTTGTCTGTCTCAAACTGATATCACCAACAATTCCAGCCTTGGTCTCTAGATGTCCGTCTAAATAAGTCATAAGGCCAGGTGTGGTGGCGCACACCTGTACTCCCAGAGCACAAGGGGCTGAGGGAGGAGAATCCTTGCAAGTTCCAGCCAGCCTGGGCTACACAGGGGGACCCTGTCGCAAGTGATGACATGAAACTTAAAATGAAACATGCATCCAGAGCCTACAGGTCTCCTTCACAGCAGTTCAGCCCACCTGGGCATTGTACCCAAAGTAAACCAACACCTGAGGCATGCTACAGTAAGAATTAGGGTGTGCACGCCTGTGTTTGAAAAGTCAGTTCTGTGACAAATGTGGGTAGGTGTAGGCTTTCTACTATTAGTCAACGAAAGCATTTCCTAATTGATTTAATTTTCTCATCTTGGCATTCCCCATCAACCTCCGAAGACAATGTTCTTGCTAACAGGAACTAAACAAACATATTTTTGAGATAAGAAATGGAAATAAAAGCTGATTTAACAGATTTGTCTTCTGGACATGGACACTAGTGGGAAATGAAAGCTGTCAGTTCAGAAGGTACACGGCTCATTTGTGACAGCCTTTATAGAAACAAATTTTACTCCACACACCATCGATTCTTTGAACCCCCAAGCCATAATCTTTTCTTTGTTCTTTTGTATTTTTTACATACAAATTGCAAAAAAAAAAAAAAAAAAAGCAAAGTAAACCAGTGACCACAGACCTTAAGAAATTTTTATCACAAGAAACAGGAAAGCTTATTAAAACAGGCTTAAACCATGGGGAAATTCAGAGGTACAGTTAGTAAATGCTTACATAATCAACATTGCCAGAGTTTTTGTCTCTGCCCCGCAGCCTGTGGGGTGGTGGCTGCTATAATCCTGGCTGCTTGGAAGTCTGAGCAAGGAGGTGTGAGGCTGGCCTGGACAAATTAGTAAGAATTCCTCTCTTAAAAGGGGCTGGGGGTGTAGCTCAGTGGTAGAGTACTTGCCTACCATGTGCAAGCCCTGGATTCAATTCCCAGCACTGTGAGAAAACAAACATGTCCCCTGCACCCTCACATTTCCTTGCTTGTGCCAGCAAAAGACAGAAATGTCTCTCCTCCAGCCCAGAGGCTGGGTCCTTCTTTTCAAACTAACTAGAATGACTCAGGGCATATCAGACACCCAGCCAAGGAAGGATCATACACTGATTAGTCAGATACCAGCCCTGGGCTGGGGGTGGAGAGTACACTGAGCAAACCTCAGACTCCTAATAGGGAGCAGGGTGTGCTGCAGGCACAGTGAGGGACTATGACACAGCACTTTGGATTTCACATACTGACTGACCGGAGGACAACAAAGAGGATCACAAAGCCTGCATTTGAGTTGGTCCCTTCCTCCGAGAGAGAATGTCACCTTTCAGGGGGACTGGGAACTCAGTCCTACACCTTAGCCACCCTGTCCAGTCCTGGTCAGTGCTGACCCCTTCCTGGATGCCACCCCGGTCCTCCACAATAATCTGAAGCAGCATTCCCAGTTTGGGAGATTTAGTTGGGGAGTCCCAAGTTGCTCTGGTGAGTTGCTCTGTGAGATGTTAGTAGATTCCTAGGGGGAAAGTACCAATACTTGCAGAAGTTTTGTTTTTTGGGTTTTTTTGGTCCCAGGGATCGAACTGTAAGACCGGGGGCCTTACCAAACGCTCCGAGGAGGAGCTGACTGTAGTGAAGCACACCCAGGGATCCCAGCAGTGCCTTCAGAATGTAAGACCAAGAGCCTTACCAAATGCTCCGAGGAGCTGACTGCAGCGAAGAACACCCGGGAAGGAACACACCGGACAAGTTGGAAAGTAAAACAGACCTTTATTAGTCTGGCCAAATGGCACTCCCAAAGCAAAATAGCTTAGAGAGGCAACTGGCTCAGAGTCCGAGGCTGTTCTTATAGGGCGTTGAGGGGGAAGTTAACATATAGAATTAAAGAAAAGGGGACAAAGGTTAGTGGTCTACTGTCACGTATTGATGGTCAGCAGACATTTGCAGCTTGTTCTAAAAATTGTGATGCCCGGAACATCAGTTCCGGGCAAACAAAGAGTTGAGTAGTTTACTTTGGGACTTTAGGTCTGTTACAGATTTTATATAGTGTCCCAAAACTAACAAGCATCTTTATCCATTAACTCACATTTAATCACAATGGGGCTGGAGAAAAGGAACAAAGGTTATGCAGTCCCACAGAACTCGGGTCCTTGAACTTGCGCAGCAGGCGGCGAAACCACTGAGCTAAATCCCCAGCCCTGTTTTTTGTTTTGTTTTGATTTTTGAGGTGGGAGGGAGGCTACTTGGGACCAAAGCCAGGACCTCCCATGTGCTAGGCAAGTACTCTATCACTGAGCTACACATCCAGCCCCTCTTACAGAAATCTTAAAAAACCTACTTAAACACTTAGCACTTAGAAAAACTTGGGCATTTGTCAGTATAAGTTCCCTGCAGAGCACATAAGCTCTATCTTAAGATTTGGTCTTTGTAACCAAGAAAGTGGCTCTGGTTCTCAGACCAAATATGTGAGATAATTACAGTAGACACTCAAGTTATGACCAGCCTGATATATGAACAACTTGTGTTAATTGGGTTAATGCAAGATTCATCTGCCTCTCATTACCCCTAGCGTGTACCCAGGTAAACATCCAGATCTCAGCTGCATTGACTCAGGTACATCCAGCCCTTGGAACCGATAGAGTTCATAAGTTAAGGGTCCACTGTATATTGGGATTTGTACTAAAGACACATGGTTTTCTTCAATCAGTGGTTCTCAAACTTTACGTAGCATTGGGAAATTTTTATGTGTTGGTGGGAGGGGCTGAAAGGCAGATTCCAGATCCTATCCTGGTCCTACAAACTGTGAATCTAAGGTCATGTGTCTTGGGGTTCAAGATTTTTTTTTTTTTTTTTTTGGAGACAGGGTCTGACTCTGTAGTTCAGGCTGGCCTTGAACTCACTATGTAGCCCAAGCTGGCCTCGAACTCAGGGTGACCCTCCTGCCTCAGCCTCCTGAGTGCTGGGACTACAGGTATGTGCCACCATGCCTGGCTCAAGATTTAAATAGACTCCCAAATAAGTCTGATGCAGTTAACAACGTCAACTGTCTACCTCACGCCTGCGTGTACAGTAGTCAGTGTTACCATGGTAGCCACCAATCTCGCCCACCTTCTATTGCCTGCTGCTCAGGCAACAACTGACCTTCTGTGGGCTTCTTTCTTATCTGAATGGCAATCTCTTGAGCACTGCAAAAATTATACAGCTGACCCAAAGGAATCAGCTCACAGTTGCAGGATCAGGAATTATAAATCCTCATGTCACCTCCCATTCAGGGCACCTATTCCTTAGTCCCCCTTTCTGGCTCTGTTCAGATGTCAGATGCTCACCTGTGGCTGCCTTTCATTGGCAGAGTCTCCAAGACTCACCTGCCCAGCCCACCATGAGCTGGGTCCTCGCTTCCCTGCCACTGACTCACTCCTTTCATAGTAACGGTCCTCTGAGGTAAAAGTACGTAAATCTGATGTCAGGGGAGTGCACAGTAATCGAGTTTATTGTTTGTTTGTTTGTTTGGATGCTGGGGACTGCACCCAGGACTTCACCCTGTGCTGTATCTCAGCCCCGTTTATTTTGACAGGCGCTTACCAAGTTGCTAAATTGCTGAGGCCAGGCTTGAACTTCCAGTCCTCCTGCCTCAGCTTCCTGGAATACTAGGGTTACAGGTGGGCACCACTACCCCTGGCCAAGTTTATTATTTTTACTTTCGC